CACCATCAAGGAAGAACAATGGTCACAGAACCAGGATCTGAGTTGACTAGCATGAAGCCTTATGGTCTTCCTACCACAGTTCCCTCCTCCAACCACCACCTTTCCCCCACTTCCCTTCACAGCCAGGCTTAAAATCTACACTTCTCTGCTCCCTGCACCCGACCCTAAGCATCAGTGACTCCCCAGTCATCCACGCCAATCAGCCTTCCGGTCCTGCCATCACTCCCAGGTAGAGCTTGCTAATTCTTTTTTTTTTTAATATATTTTATTGATTTTTTACAGAGAGGAAGGGAGAGAGACAGTCAGAAACATCGATGAGAGAGAAACATCGATCAGCTGCCTCCTGCACATCTCCCACTGGGGATGTGCCCGCAACCCAGGTACATGCCCTTGACCGGAATCGAACCTGGGACCCTTCAGTCCGCAGGCCGACGCTCTATCCACCGAGCCAAACCGGTTTTGGCAAGCTTGCTAGTTCTTAAGGCCCACAGCTGTGTCCCTGCTCCTTGTCCTTTCTCTTCCCCGCTGACCCTAATCCTGCCCTTGCTTAACTGGGACATCCCCTGGGCACTTGCTGCCTTCCGAGCTTCACCTTACATGCCAGAACAAGACTGTCAACCAGGGGAACTCCTCCCCCTACCCTGGGCGCATTTGGCAGGATCTGGAGACATTTTGGTTATGACAACTGGTGGTGGTAGGGTGTGCTATTGGTATCTAGTGAGCAGAGGCCAGGGATGCTGCTAACCTTCCTGTGACGCACAGAACAGCCCCACAACAGAGAACTGCCAACAGCCTCTGCTGTGGTGGCACCGCCCACACAGTTCCTGATGTGTCGATTCTGGACATCTCCAACTTCTATTTCCCAGGTGAGCTCCAATCCATACATTAAAAGCTCAATTTATCTTCCTAGTGTTTCCTCCCCTTTTTCTCATCAAGTTTTGACTTTCTGCGCTTCTCTATCACCTATCTTCAGACTAAATTTCTTTAAAAAGCAGGGATGGGGAACATCTGGCCCGCAGTCTGTACAAGGCCCATGAAATCATTTGGTCTGGCCCTGCCAAAGGATTAGGGCAGTGATGGCGAACCTATGACATGCATGTCAGAGGTGACACGCGAACTCATTTTTTTGGTTGATTTTTCTTTGTTAAATGGCATTTTAAATGTATAAAATAAATATCAAAAAATTTCTATGCGTGACATGGCACCAGAGTTAAGTTAGGGTTTTTCAAAATGCTGACACGCTGAGCTCAAAAGGTTCTCCATCACTGCATTACGGATTAATCAAATGTTTGACCAAATATAGCAGGCCAATTTTTAAGCTGTAATTTTCTATGGCCCTGGAATGATGTTATAAATATCCAAATGGCCCTTGCCACCCCTGTCTAAAGATTGTTAAAGGAAGTTGGCTTAGAACTCTCCAGTAATTATCCTTCTAACACCTTGGCCTGGACCTACCTGCTGGCCCAGTCTCACTTCCCATCATGCTGCCTTCATCAGACCACAGTGCTCAACACTGTCTTCCTGCTCCAGAGTCCAGCACTTCCCCTCGCTGTCAGTGCAGGAAACTCTCCTTGCCAATGCATATACCCTCCCTGTTCTTACAGGATCCCATATACCTGCTACAGCACTTAGTATACAGGTGCAGGTGCAATTACTTTTATCCTGGGTCTCATGTAATGCCGGGGTCCAACCCCAGCAGGTCCAGGGGTCCCCAAAGGTGTAGACGGAGTCGGCGAAGAAGGAATGACACGGAGACAGGGTTCAGTTGATCAGCATCCTAGCCAGGATCTCCAGCCAAGTTCTGGTCAGGCTCTCCAGAGAGGTTCTGCTCTGGATCTCCAGCGAAGTTCTGGTTAGGATCTCCAGAGAGGTTCTCCTTAGGATCTCCAGCCAGGTTCTGTATCCATGTTGTCTTGCTAGGTTCTCCAGCCAGGTTCTGTCACCAGGTTCTAGTCAGGTTCTCTTGCCAATTTCTGTAGTCAGGTTCAGTCCAGGATCTTTTGCCATGCTCTCTCCAGCGAAGTTCTTCTGTCTGTAGGTTCTGAGTAGGTTCTGTCTTCTTAGTTCTGTGTTCTAAGCTCTATTCTAAGTTCTGTGTCTTGCTGTCTTATTACATCTGTATTTATACCAGTTGATTCAATCCTATCAATCTCTATTACAAAGGTTAGGGCGTTTCTTATCTCCATTCCAGGGAGTAAAGATTATGTAGCTTAAGCATGATTGTTCGTAGTTAAAGTGATTAATTACCCACCTGGCACTAGTTAAGAGGTTTTATTCCCTCCCTAACTTCAGGGGAAAATCCCTACCCGGGGAAACAACCTTTCTCAGAGACCTTGGTTAAAACACATAGTGCCAAGAAGTTGAGCAAACATATTAAGAACAGTATGCCATATATGCCAGGTCCTTTGAAACAACAAGGATGGACCGGTTCCCGGCAAATTCCCCCTTTTTTATTTTTTAAAAGCAGGCATTAAAAAGAAAAACCTGAAATGCTCTCTTATATCCATTTTAAGAGTAGGATTGGCACTTTCTGCTATTACCTGAGTCCTGATCTATCACCCCAGGGAGAGCTTGCCAATCCTGCACTTTCCCAGGGTAGAAAGGCTGCAGTGGGGTTAAGGATAAGGCTCCTTGGGCCTACCTTCTCCCATGCCATTACATTTACCTTTCCTTCCTCAGAAAAGCATGGACATATTTCTTGTATAAAATGTTCTGTCTGACTGGGAGTAACCTTAATTCCTCTGCTAGCAAGCATATATGTTAAAAGATCAATACAGAGTCTTATTTCTTTAGACTCAGTATGGCACATCTTCTTAATCTAAAGATCAATACAGAGTCTTCTTTCTTTGGACTCAGTATGGCACATCTTCTCAATCTAAGAATCAATACAGAGTCTTCTTTCTTTGGACTCAGTATGGTACATCTTCTCAATCTAAGTTCTGTACTATCCACCTTCTTACCCTACTTATCCTCTATAGGGGGGTCTGCAATACCCTGGTGGAGTCCTATCCATCCCGAATGTGGGGGTTCTCAATGGGGGGGGGGCTTACCTAGGGGAATCCTGTTCCAGGGGTTCCCAAAGGTGTGGACGGAGTCGGCGAAGACTATCCACCCTCTTCCTATGGTGGAGTCTGATCCGTCCCGATTGTGGGGCAAAGACTATCCACCCTCTTCCTACGGTGGAGTCCTATCCATCCCGAGTGCAGGGCGCTTACCTAGGGGTCCCTGTTCGGGCGCCATATGCCGGGGTCCAGACCCAGCGGGTCCAGGGGTCCCCAAAGGTGTGGATGGAGTCGGCGAAGAAGGAATGACATGGAGACAGCGTTCAGTTGATCAGCAGGCTAGCCAGGATCTCCATCCAGGATCTCCAGCCAAGTTCTGGTCTGGATCTCCAGCGAAGTTCTGGTTAGGATCTCCTGCCAGGGTCTGTGTCCATGTTCTCTTGCTAGGTTCTCCAGCCAGGTTCTGTAGCCATGTTCCCTTGCTAGATTCTCCAGCCAGGTTCTGTCCAGGCTCTCCAGCCAGGTTCAGTCACCAGGTTCTAGTCAGGTTCTCTTGCCAATTTCTGTAGTCAGGTTCAGTCCAGGATCTTTTGCCATGTTCTCTCATTAGGTTCTGTCTCTAGGTTCTGAGGCCAGTTTCTGTCCAGGAACTTTTGCCATGTTCTCTCCCGCGAAGTTCTTCTGTCTCTAGAGAACGTTCTGTGTAGGTTCTGTGCCTAGGTTCCGTCTCTCTTGGTTCCGTATTCTAAGTTCTGTGTCTTGCTGTCTTATTACATCTGTATTTATACCAGTTGATTCAATCCTATCAATCTCTATTACAAAGGTTAGGGCGTTTCTTATCTCCATTCCAGGGAGTAAAGATTATGTAGCTTAAGCATGATTGTTCGTAGTTAAAGTGATTAATTACCCACCTGGCACTAGTTAAGAGGTTTTATTCCCTAACTTCAGGGGAAAATCCCTACCTGGGGAAACAACCTTTCTCAGAGACCTTGGTTAAAACACATAGTGCCAAGAAGTTGAGCAAACATATTAAGAACAGTATGCCATATATGCCAGGTCCTTTGAAACAACAAGGATGGACCGGCTCCCGGCAATGTAACTAGGGGACCTCCCGGAAGAGGACTCCTTCTGAGGCACGTTAGGCCTCTGTGCCGAGGCGGACTGGTGTTTGGACTCCTTTGTCTGGGCCAGGGCATAGCTGCAGAGGTGAGGATTGCTACTGAATCCCTAATTCCTGGTCACTGAGACCCCTGGCAGTGGAAAAGCCTAGAAAAGGCTGTCCTGGCTTCTTGCCCAGGGTGGCCAGCCTGTGAGAGGCAAAGGGAAAGAAACCGCCGTGCTCTGGAGGCCCTGCCATGGCCCAGGCCCTTGCCCAGCTTCAGGGGGGCTCACTCACCACCTTCCCTTCTTTGTGGCCTGCATCTCAACCCACTTCCTCCAAAGCCTGGGTGTAGCAGCTGAGGTCCTGGAGGGCAGGCAGGCGACGCAGAGAGGGGAGCACTGTTCTTCTTCCTGCTGCAGAGAAGGGGTGGGGCGGTAAGGTCGGCAGGGTCTGGGAGCCTCATCCCCTGGTGTGGGGTGGCTCCCAGTGAACAGAAAGCAACTTTTTCAAGCTGGCTGTCCATGCCACCACTTCTGAGCTCCAGCAGAGCAGACCTGGACCCCAGGTAATCTGCCTACCTTTCTGCTCTTCATTCTGGGCGGGAATTCACTCTTCCATCTCAGCCGGGCGAGATGCTTTTGTCTTTTAAGGCTTAATTACACCCTTATGATTTCCCTAAACCTCGAACACACAAATAGTGCCTCGCCTATTTCTCAGCGGGGCAATGCTCACGATGAAGGCGGAGCCTGTGTCTTCTCACCCCATGGGCCTGGCACCTCAGCTGCTTACAAAGGATCTGAATGGAGGTGGCTGCGGCTCACATACCGTATTTGACTTCTCTGATAGTGGGGGTTGGGGAGATGCTGCACGTGATAAAACTGGTTTTTACAAAGCAGTGCTGTTTGTACCAAAATATTTAATGAATATGCTGTTAAAATAAAACCAACGGAAGAAATAGTAATACAATTTTACTGGTTTATATTTCAATTCATAAAGTTAACACACTAAGACTACCCTAACACAATGTCCACGCACCTAGATTTAGACGGGCTTACAGCTGTTTTGGTAACTGAACAAGAAAGACACAAAGTGGTGGGGGGAAGGTGGGAGGAGGGCTTGCCACTTGTTACCTCCACGTTAACACAGATGACCTCAGCAAGCGTCAGTACAGCCAATGGGAAAAGATACAAAACAACCCAAGTGTCTACATACAAACCAGCGCCTCTTGTAACCAGCTACCTCCAACCACGCAGAGAGGACGACGAACCATCTGCAAGACAGCCTGCCGGCACATCACTATAGAAGTTAAAAGTCTGTGTTTGTTTAAAAAAAGGTGCTAAAACCTCCATTCCATAGTTTTGAAGCGAGAACTTGCAGCCCATTTAAACAGCGAGGTTTGCACCCAGCCACACTCCAGGGGAGGACACGGGCCAGCAGGATGGGGCCTGGGCGTCCCACATGTACATTTACACAGACACACAGAGCTCAGTGTCCTCCTCACTTACACAATCTGTTGTGCAAAACACCTGGAATCTCGAAGTGAGGGAGCTTGTCACAACTCTCAGAACGGCAGGGAGGAGAGCAGAACCCAACAGACCTGGAGTGAAGTTAAGTGCCCACATAACCACATAATTAAGTTGTGCAGATCAGTCCTAGTCTGGGATTTAAACACTGTCATTTGGGGGCATTGGGAAAAGATATTTTTATATATATATACATATACACACATGACACATTGAGCAAAATAAGATTTGTCCACATTATGATTAATCCAGTCTCATGGTCACCCACCCCAGCCCTGTGAAGTCATTTTGGCAGCTAACACTAAAAAACAACAGGAACCATGAGAGTTGCATAGAATTGATCTGAAACGTGAAAAATGCCAAACCAAAACCTGTGCATCATATAGTTTAACAAAACTAGGCTGCTTCACTGCACCCATGAAACCCTCCTCTTTAAAACAAAGTGCTTCTCCATTACCCAGAGGACCCTCTGCTGGCACTGACGCAGGTAAGAATTACTGGAGTTCCTGATCCTCTGCCCCACCCCACCCAGCCACAGTATATATAACGTGTATTAAAAAAAAAAAGTTACAGATTTAGGAAAAAAACCAACAGCCTGAAAGGGTTCCCCCAACTCTGATCATGTCAGCTCAGCCTGTGGGCTGGGTGAACCTGGGAGTCGCCTGGGAGTGATTTCCTAGAGCGTCCAGAGCAGCCGCTGGGCTGGCAGGCCTGTTAGTGTCAGTAGTTAGGAGAGCCTTAGCCCAGAGGCGCCTGCTTCAGGAGCTCTGGGCCAATGACCTACCAATATGCTTCTAGGAATCTGACTTAGGTACATCTGGTCCTGGGACATGTCACAGAATCACACATCTGGCCAAAGAAGGCAACAAAAGGTGTTGTGTTTTCTGATGGTGTCTGGAGCCCGCAGCTGCTCTCAGCAAGTCTCTTTCCCTTGAACGCCAGTTGCTGTCTTTATGGAGCTCAGTGTTCGGTTAAACCACGTCTTCTTGGCTGCTTGTACCTCATTTAGGGCAAGGCCCAAATGGTGCTCCAAGTCCTGCAAGAGGAAGACTGCATGAGGATGCTGGCTCCAGTGCCGAAGACGCTGCCTCCCCAAGAGCTGAGCCAGGACAGGAATTCAGTCTATTTACTTTTGAGAGGCCTCTGGAAATTCCCCCTTCTCAAACTGACATGGAAAGAGCTGGAATGCCTAAAGCTGTTAAGCCCGCCTTGTTTCTTGCCTAGTTTATTAACACTGCCTCCTACACAAACACCTCCCTCCCTTGTCCATCGCTGCACATCAGGCACACAGAGCTCATGCCCGGGTAAGGCTGCATCATGGACTTGCAGAAAGAACCTCAAGTCTACACTCCTGAGCAAGGCACTTCAGACGTTGGTCTGGGCCAACACGCAGGCTGTTTCAGATCAGCACCCACATCCACCCCTACCTCCTAGGGCTCCTTGCTGGGCAAGCCCACACCTCCCTGTGCTGCTCCCTCCCCCAGGAATGCCTAATCTTCTTTCTCTTCTGTAGCTGCAACCTGTCCAATTCTTTGATCACAGCTCAGACACTGCTTGCCTGTCCTGGGCAGTCCTATGAGCCATGTCTTAGCTTTGCCGCCCCAGCATCGAGAACAGGGCCTGGCGAAGAGCAGGTACCCAGTGAATGTATGAGACGCGGGAGGCCCAGCCTAAGCTTGATTCCTTGTGCTCAGCACTGGTGCTGACAGAACTAGCCAGACAGTATAAAGAGGACCAAGATCAGCCCCAATTCCTTCACCAGGAATGGAGGCTCGGATAAATTAGGTAACATGTCCAAAGTCACCAAGCTAGCTACGTGATGGGAGCTGGGACATAAGAGCCGGCATTTATGAAGCCGGCACACACTGTGTAAACCCTTTCTATGCATTATCTCCTTGTCCTCACTCATCATCTCCACCTGCAGATGAGACTGGAATGTAGAGAGGTTACTAACTCAAGGTCGAAGACTCTGATAGTACAGCTGTGACTTGAAAGCACGTATTCTCTGCTCCACCAAGAAGCTCCCAAGCTTGATAATTATCATTAGGAAAAAGGTCAATGCTTAGGACAGGCCACGTCAACATCCACTGGTAAATAACACGTAACGGGCTTCTTCCCGTGAGCATCATAGTCAAAGCTGACAAGAGAAAAGAGCCCCAGTCCCTAAAGGTCATGCTGGCGTTCCCCACACCAGGACCCCTCTGGCCAGTCCGAGTCTCATGGCAGCAAGAGAAGAGGCAGCGCTTTGGTCCCCGGGGTGTGTGTGTGTGTGTGTGTGTGTGTGTGTGCGCGCGCGTGTGTGTGCGTGCTGTTACCTGTATCTTACACTCGGCCTCCACCAGTTGCAGCTTGGTCTGGGCCAGCTCCAGTTCCATCTCTCGCAGCTGGTTCTTGAGCGTCTCCTTCTCCTCATCTGTGTCCTCATCTAAAGCTTCCTTAGCTGCGCTGATGCCCTTTATGCGCCCTTCTTTGTTGAAAAGCTCTCGGCAGCGCTCACAGTCATCTACTTTTTGCTAAAATTGAATGTCAGATGTAAAGAGACAAGAAGAGAACTGGTCGTTTAGAAATGTGAGCATCACTCTCCTGGAGCCAAGAGGTGGCTTCTCAGTGGGCACCACAGCTTCTGAAAATCTGCCCCCTGTAACCAGGTAGACGGCCTATGGGAAAACCACCTGGCGCTATACACTGAAAGCAGTAAAAACAGTATGATGTCGTGATCCAGTCAGTAATCGTATCTAAGAACCTTGGCTAAAAAATGAAGCAGCAGTGACTAGATACGATTTATGTACAAGGATTTTCACTGCAGAATGAGAGAGAAGCTACCCAACACCTGGGAGAAATTCAATACACTGGGCTGTATTTATACAGGAAGTATGCAGCCTCTAAGTTTCTGAGGAATTTTTCATAAGATGGTAAACAAAAAATGTATCTATAGTATGGTTAAAATACATAAAATATATTTTCAAAATATATTTTCTTACTCATCAAAATAAGATGCCACTGACTGTAAGAAACATCATCTTATGTTCTTCTAAGAAAACATTCTGCCAACTAAACCAAAACCTGCCCCAATTTCAGAGATGTGAGTGTGAATGCGTATCTTAGAATGAATGAAACTGTGTATGTTAAACAGAACAAAGACTGAAAGCATATACAACCAAGTGTGCACGATGGTGATGTTATCTGTGGATAACAAGATTGTAGGGGGTGACCAGCAGGCGTGGCTCAGTGCCTGAGCATGGACCAATGAACCAGGAGGTGATGGTTCAATTCCCAGTTGAGGCACATGCCTGGGTTGCGGGCTCAATCCCCAGTATGAGGCATGCAGGAGGCAGCTGATCAATGATTCTCTTTCATCACTGATGTTTCTCTCTCTCTCTCCCCCCTCTCCCTTTCTCTCTGAAATCAATAAAAATGTATTTAAAAAAAGATTGTAAGAGGTTTTTTTCTTATATACTCTTCCAAATTTTCTGCAATGAGTTTTATTAGTTCTGGAATCAGACAACAAATTATATTTAAAAAATAGCTACTGCTGGTTAAACACTTCTTGTGGGGGCTGGGCATCATCTTGCTCCAGGTAGAATGTTCTAAGCAAACATGGTCATGAGCACAGAACTCTCCATTTTCCTCTCCACTCAAGTGTAAGTATGTGAGGGAAGCATCTTTCAGTAAATGACTCATCTTAGTAAAATTTGGTAAGTATTCTTATACAGGTACAACTTAAAGAAAGAAGCATCGTTACAAAAGCTCCCAAATTGGCAACAACTACACTTTAAAAAGTCAAGTCGTTGTCGTGGCACGTGGATCATTGTGACAGCAGAAGGAAGTGTCCACGCAGGTGGGAGGGACAAGTCACACCGCAGTCCTGGCCTCCAGGCCCCAGTGCTGCGCAGCATGCACTGCCCACGCGGCAGCACCTGGAATCTAGAGCCGCCTGTTTTGCTTACAAACTCCCTGGAGGAGATGCTGTACACATTTATAAGGACAAGGACCTTGGATTTTGAGATCTAAAGCCAGAGCTCTTTGGGTCTCATCTGTATTCCCCTCCAGAGGACACAAGCACAGGATCAGCTGTCAATTACTGAGTCAGGCTGTGGTGTTTGTCAGCTTCTTTCACTTCTGAAATCAAAGTACCGCCCTTACTCAAAATCTGCAGTGCTGGTTACAGCCATAAACTGAGCTAGGTGCTATAAAATTTCTTTGATAAAGGAAGACTTACCCGAATTTTCTCAATTTCCACTTTATTAGCTGTCTGCTGCTTCTCCAATCTTTCACTCAATTGAGAACAAATCTAAAGGAACAGACATAATATCAAATGAAAATCTGGAGCCACACCATCAGCTGCATACTCTGGGCTGGGTCCATGCTCAGCAGCAGGCCTCTGCATCCACCAGCCTGGGACCTGCAGGCCCCTGTCAGCACCACACGTGATGGCCACCGTTTCTGCACCGTGAAACACACATGCACAGAAGGTGCGACCTGCACCTGAAATGCTCCCAGGAACACAGTGTGGCTTCACTTATAAGCGCCCACACGCATGCTGGGCACTCACTGTGCCTGGTGCTCTACCTACACTGAGATCGCAACTCTCCCTTACTCTGCAGTTGACCAGCGAGGCAACGTGGCCGGGCGTGAAGTGACTGGTCAGAGCCGGAAGCTCTTGGGCGAGGAGGGGACACAGCCCAATCCCCTGGTGCGTGGACCCACCTGCTTGTAGTCACCGATGATAGAACTGTTTTTTTTAATCTCAGATTCTGCCTTGTCGAGTTCCCGCCGACACATTTCTTTTAGCTGCGTACATGGAAGAGGCAGAAGTGAGTGTTTTAAGGGAAATATAAAGGGCTTCCCACAAAGCCCAGACCTGACTCTGCCAGGGCCCGCCCTCCCTCCCTCCCTCCCTCCCTCCCTCCCTCCCTCCCTCCCTCCTTCCCTCCCTCCCTCCCTCTTACTTCTTGGCATCACTAACCCGTTTTCTTGATGCCAGGAGAGGGAGGGAAGAGTCAAAATGTCCCAAAACACCCCACCCTACCCCACCCCACTCTGGGGTTTGCTGAAGCTTCTGCCTGAGAGCAACCCGGCCTGTGGGCCTGAGGAGGCCACAGAGCAGGGACGGAGCTGATGGAGCCCCACGGCCGCCTCGGTAACTTGACCTCCCATCTGTGTAAAGTGCCGTCACCTCGCACCTCAGGCAGCCCTGTCTGAGACCAGCAGTTACCTTTATGGAAAACGGGGGGGGGGGGGGGGGGGGGATGGGGCTGGCCCCAGGGCACCTAGCACCCTAAGCTCTTCCTATGGCTGCAGGTCTGTGCCCCAGGGACTGTAGAGCTGGCTGCGGACAAGCCTTCCAGTTTGCTCTTGGAGGACATGTCAGTGGACAGGTAGAAGAGCCAGACATGTTAGGGTGTTGCTTTCCTTCTGCAGAGATGCTAACCCTATTGTTTGTCACTCAGATGTGGACACACAGGGATTTCTCTTGCCTCACTGTGCTTTAATTATTAAGAATCATTACGCTTTACACGGTACATTAAAAAGGCTCACGGAAACTGAAGCCACCTGTCCCAGCTTCTCCAGTGCCAACAGGAAGCCTCCAGCCACACTCCCACCATCAAGTGTCCGCAGGACACAGAGGGCTACGGGCGGGCGAAGCTCCCTCACCTGAGCAGACTCCTCTTCCAGCCGTCTCTTCTCTTCTTCTGCATCGATCAGCTTCTGTTTGGTCATAAGCAGCTCCTTATTCAGTGCGTCTGCCTTTTCCTCAGCCTGAAACAGTTAAGAGACGCTGTCAGTGACCAGAACTGAGAGCGGAAGGGTTCTGAACCACCCAGCACAACCCCATTTTAAGGGGAACTGTGATGGGGACAGGAGAGGCGATAGGCCCACGATCGCCCGGAGGCGAGGCTCATGCCCCAGTGCTGGCTGGGAGGTCGGGAAGGCACTGGCCAGGAGCACAGCCTTGGGCCTCAGGAGCCTAGGCTCCGTCCCATCGTTCCCCGACCACGTGCCACTGGCCAAGTCACGGAAGCCTGTCTGCGCCCGCCTCGCTCTTCGTCTGAGGGATAAAGTGTGGGAAGGACTAACTAAGCACAGTGTCTAGACCAGTAATGGCGAACCTTTTGAACTCGGCGTGTCAGCATTTTGGAAAACCCTAACTTAACTCTGGTGCCGTGTCACATATAGACATTTTTTGATATTTGCAACCATAGTAAAACAAAGACTTACATTTTTGATATTTATTTTATATATTTAAATGCCATTTAACAAAGAAAAATCAACCAAAAAAATGAGTTCGCGTGTCACCTCTGACATGTGTCATAGGTTCGCCATCACTGGTCTAGCACATAGTAAACACTCGGTGAACAGAAGCTGTCATAATCACTAATAGCTATAATAAATTCTGGTTTTCTTCCTCTAAACTCTCAGTATTTCCTCTGCTTCATCAAACAAGTTCCACATTTTGGTCTCCTTGTCACCTGATAAAGGAAGCCACCCCTTTCCTGTTTTTATTCCATTAATGGCGATCCTCCACCCGTTTCTCCTAAGACACACAAAGGTCTGGAAGGCAGACCTGTGGGTCCCAGTGAAAATGATATGAGTCCCCGACACGGACAGTCCCAGGACACCGAGGAATGAACGACTGTGGCAACACAGAGGGCAGTGAGGGATTCAGCAGTGCACAACATTTTCACACACATTCGGTGGAGCAAGGGCCTCATGGGTCACAGACACTCCTGGTGCACTGTACCATGTAAGTCCCCTGTTAACCCGCAGCAGCCTGAGCCTCTTTCTAGAGCATCAGGAAACCTATGAGCAGGAAGTAGTCTTAGGAGCCTGACAGGGAAACCTACCTAAGTCAGGTGCTGGTAAACGCTGGCCTATGCACCAAATCCGCTGGTTCTTACAAATAAGGTTTTATCATAAGCAAACAGCCATGCTCATTCGTTTACTTACTATCTATGTGCGGTTAGTTCTGCACCAGTGGCAAAGCTGAAGAGCCGTGACAGAGACCACGTGGCCCACAGAACCGAAGATATTTACTATCTATCCCTTTACAGAAAAAGCTTGCAACCTCTGACCTAAACCCTGAATGAGAGACTACACTTCTTCTATGGGAGGCCTGTGGTGGAGAGAATGGACAAATGCCCGCCAGAAAAGCCATCACCTCAAACTCAAGACTCGGAGAAGCAAAGAAAGACGGCCTATCTGCCAACAGAAATTCCCGATGAAATCAAGCACCCTGGGCACCAGGCTTTGTTATAACCGGCAGTGCTTAGTCAACAGGCACAGGATATGCAAGAAACAAAGTCTCTTCTTGTTGTAGGGGGAGGTGAAGAAAATCATAGTGATCACATGCTACTGCCAACTGTGGCAGCATGAGAAGCGCCAGAAGCCTCTCAATCCAACAATGCTTGGGAGGAAGTTCAAGGACTGAAGGACGGCTTCCTGAGCTCATCACTGACCCCTGTAGGAAGAGGGGGAAGGAATACTGGCAAGAGCCGTACCTTCAAAGGAGGGTAACTCACCAGACCAACACACACAGTACTTTCACGTGACTAAGGAGAAGTCAGTGTTGAACACAATCTCTCCCTGCAGCCGAGTCAGACTCACGTTATCCAGGTCCTTGCGCAGCGCGATCTTGCTGGTCACAAGCTCGTGGGCTAAGTCATCATTTTCCTGTTCCAACCTCATGTTCGCTTCTTGTAAACGCCTGTTCTCCCGCTGAGAGATGAAAAGAAACCAGTTACAGACACATAAAAATCAGATGAAAATGACAGTGTTTCAGGGCTAACCTTCAAAACTCCCTTGAGTGCTATGGAAATTGTGGGAGATGTAGCTGGTCCTAATGGGCTACCAATCAATAATTTCAGAAAAACTTAACTGATAAGTGACCTCGTCAAGTAACTATGTCTTATTAACGGTGCCAAAATGCCACCAAACTGTAACAAACTAGGCCGCTGGTTTGAAGCAAAACAAACTTTTTCTTACTTGCAAACTCAAACTTGAACTTGAATCTAGAAACAGTAGCACTGAATTTTAAAAGGAACGCAACAAGGCTGTTACAGGCACAATGATAGGAAATGACAGGCGAACCTCAAATCGTTCGATGGGGTCTTCCTGTTGGGCCTGCTGTTCCCTCATGGTGTGATATTCCTTTTCATATTTTTTCAGCTTCTTCTGACTAATCTGTAGGATAAACCACAGCATGAATTAAAAAGTATCAAAAGTGGTGGGCGCTTCAGGGACTTCACTAAGGACAGAGCTGTCCCAGTCACTATGAAAATGTTATTTCCAAATTTGGGAGGGAAATCAGCAGAATGGGGCACCGTCCAGGACCCAGAATTCTCACTCAATGGCTACTATGTCCAGGGTTCTGTTGGGAATAACTGGCTCACAGTTTTTACTAAGTGTTAGAAGGACCACCGACAGAGAGCTCTTCCTATCTGAGCCTGGGTCCCACTGTCCCTATCATCATCCCCATCCCCATCCCCATCTTATCTAGCACCCACCAGCATGGCTACAAGAGGCTTCAAATCTCTGCCCTCACGTACAGTATTCTTCATCCTCCTCCTCCTCATTTTATATACAACTTAACTGAGGTATAAGGAGGTTACGTACTTTGACCACGGTCACTCAGTGAGGGGCTGGCAGATCTGGGATTTGAACCCAGGCAGCTCAACTCCACCCGAGGTTTAGCTACAGCCATCTCACTGTCCTACCACCTGTCAACTTTCCTCTCTACTAGCTCCTGTGCTATCAAACAGGCACAATTCTCTCTGTCCTTCAACACACAGCTCTGCTGACCACTCTACTTGGCTGCTCTTCTGCCCCATCAAACTACTGTCCTCTTTCTCTCAAGCTTTTTCTTACCGACAACCACTGCCAACCACAGGTCTACACCCGTCACTCCCACTGCTTCGGGGCCTCTCTTTAACCTCTCTAAGTCAAGCTCCTGCTCTAACGACTCTTTATAAAATATCCCCTTGAAGATCACAGAGTGGTGTCTTTTTCACTCCGTCCAGTGCATTCTCTCTCTTCCCAACTAGACTTCAAATCTCTTGACTTTCATGCTTTACCATGACCAACCCGCTCCTCTCCTCTCAGGAGATCCTTTCTCCCTTCCTCTTAGCTCTCCTCCCGAACAGGCTGTTTCCCCTTTTACTCATTAACCCTTTTCTTTCTTCAATCTGGACCGTAACTAAGGGCATCCTCAAGACACAACCCTTAGTCTTTTGTTTTATTCCTTCCTCTAAACCACTAACCCATTCTCTTTGGTTTTTTTAAAATTATATTTTTAAGAATTATAAAATATAAGAAACAGAAAAGTGATAAAACAGGTATAAGCAACTTAAGGAATGATTACAAGCTAACGCTCATCCCTTCCCAAAGCTTCAAGAATCAGCACCATGCTGCCTCACAAATCTCAGCTGCCAGTTCCAGGCAATGAGGAAACCGAGCTTGTCTAGTCCAACTCTCCTCATTTTATGGATTGAAGAAACTGAGACCTACAGGGGACGGGACAGGCCCACGTTTGCAGCGCCTCCAGAGAGGCACCTCACTCGTGCTGCTGGCGTTCCCCCTCCCACCAACTCTGCAGACCCCTGTGCTCCTCGGGATGTTGATGTCGGCTTCAACCAGAGCTGATCCTGGAGTCTGGCTGCCGCCCAAGGGGAGGCCACCAAGCACACAGCACTGCGCCCTGGCTGCAGTTATAGAAATGTCCATTAAACACTTGGGGGTGTGGCTACAAGTGGGGGATTGACATTTTTAAACTCAGATCTTCTGTGGTTTAAGGCCAATGCCGGGGTAAACTTTTATTGTATAATTAGAGGCCCCGGGGCACGAATTCATGCACAGGTGGGGTTGCTTGGCCTGACTGGTGATCAGGGCCGACTGGGCCAGCCAGCTGGGGGGGAAGGGACCGCAGCCAGCCGGGTGGGAGGGACCGAGGGAGGTTGGCCGGCTGCAGGAGGTTGGCTGTGGAGCACACTGACCACCAGGGGGCAGCTCCTGCATTGAGCGTCTGCCCCCTGATGGTCAGTGCACATCATAGCTACCGGCCAGTGGTCCGGTCGTAACAGTCACTTAGGCTTTTACATATATAGGTGTCATTCACAAAGAAAGCACCTAAATAAAACATCTGCATGATCAATAAGTGTATCCTAACAGATCAATAGTGGAGCAACAGAAACTAAAGGAGATGTGTGGGAGGCAAAAACCGCCTCCCAGCGCTCTCTGCTGTCAGTGTGGTAAATAACAAGGAGGGACTGGTTACGAGTCTCCCCTTAGTGCTTCATTTAAAAAAAAAAAGAACTGACATTAAATCCTACAGAACATTCCTTCTCACAAATCTTCAGGATTCTCCAACTTTCATTCTCATGCAGGGGCAAGGAAGAATTAACAATTTTTTCCTATAAACATACATTTTAAAAGGCTAATTACAAAATAATGTCTTCTACATTTCATTACCCCTAATTATAAAAGCCTCGTTCTCAGACTAAAGGGCTGGTTCTCCCTCAACACTGGCACAGCTGTGCGCGTCTAACGAGCACCTGATAAATGCTGGACCCTCTACATTTGGTTATCTCATGGATTCTTAGATTTTCGTGATAAGATATGGGCATTTCTTTATGCATTTCCCATGTTTTTCAAGTGTTCTGCAGTGAGCATAAGGTGCTTTTATAATTAAGTATACAAAGTACATGCTGTTAGAAAAAACTCTCATAATGACTCTGGGCTTCTGTACCAGGACTGAACACAGGCAAAGCTCCGTCTTCTGCGGAGCTTGTGGCCCAGACCTTCTCACCGGCTCAGGCTCCCTTCCCACTGCTCAGCCTCACTGGTTCTGTTTCCTTCTTACTCCCTCCCTCCCTTAAACCCTTACCCACCAACCCCATCACAAACAAAAATAAGTAAAAGCAGCACTGCTTATCATGGGCTCGCACTGACCCTGCTTCTCAGCATGGATGGCTGCACACCAGAGCCAATAATTCAGGCTGTCTCTGAGGCACAGACCCCACAAAGAAGGCTGATTCCTGACCCCGCAATGGGGAATGGAGAGGCACCAATGCAGCCTCCACATGCAGCTGCACCCAGGAGAGACCAGCACCCACCTCTCGCCTGCCTATCTCATTATCAGTCTCCAGGTCAGAACATTTCTCCATCCCCTGCCCACACAGAGTGCACAGAAACGATGAATTACATTGACCACCCTTTACATCTACCTTTCCTCTGAATGGAAATGGCAACAAAGTGAGCGTCCAATGCAAGCCTGGCCCCTCGGCCTGCACAGGCCCACACCCTCTTCACCTCTCAAATGAGCGCTCCCACATCACTTCATTAGGAACCCTTCCCTGACACCTCCTTCCCCCATCAGGCAGGTCTTTCCTTATATATTCTCATGACATCAGGGCAATTCCTTCATGCACCTGTCCAAGTCCACAATTATTTACTTATGTGCTTACTTAATTGTCTGTCTTCCCAGTAGGTAGCAGGCCTCATCTGCTTTGCTTACCACCATATCTCCAGTGCCCAAGTTTAATGCCTACAATACAATCGGGACTCCAATAATCAGATACTGAACAAATCAAAGCCAATGGCCATCCTTTAAATCTATAATCAGGATGCAGCAGGGGCATTTATTTACCCAACAACTGAGCACAGCTAAGGGGAATGTTCTTTGTAGGCATTACAATACAAAGATGTATACAGGTCACAATATGCAAACTCCACAGGGCAGGAACTATTATTCATTGCAAAATTCTGAATGCTTGACCCAGAGTAAGCATGAAAATACTTAATGAATAGAGACATAGTCCCCACTCTAAAAAGTTCAAGGGTCATTTTGTCTGTCTCTTAGTTATACCAATAATAACATTTTAATTGAATTCAGGAAGTAGGACAGCTATGGAATCAGCCCCTGAGCTAGGAATCACACCCTCTATTGGCTGACACCTCTAAGGAGGCGGTGGAAATCACAGCTTCACACACAGGGGCATTTTTGCCCTGAGAGATTATATTTGAACCCTGGCTGGGTGGCTCAGTTGGTGGGAGCATAGTCCCTTACACCAAAAAGGTTGCAGGTTTGATTTCAGGTCAGGGCACATATCTAGGTTGTGGGTTTGACCCCCTCAAGGCGCATAAAGAAGGCAACTGATCGATGTCTCTCTCACATCAATGTCTCTCCTCTACACCCTCCACCCCCCAAAACAACACTAAAAAAGTATATCCTCAGGTGAGGGTTAAAAAAAAGGTATTTAAAAGTTTTTGTTTAAATGTTCTTTTTTGGGGGGGAAATCTAAGAGTGTCCTGGGATCAGACCAAGTTTGTACTAAATTTAGGTAAAACCAATGTTATACCCACTGCAGTCTGTACAGAGGTTCCTAACATGTCAGGAATAGAACCAAACTGAAAGTGTCCTGAGAGCCATGGTTCCCATAAAAAGCGATGTCCTCATAAAAGAGCACAGAAGGCAACTCTGCCCCTACCCACCCACAGCAACAGAACATTCTACATCCCATCCCGGAGGGCTCCCAGGCTCCCTGAGGCCCAGCCATACACAGTCCCCAGTTAAGAAACTTAGAATTCGACAGTGGAGACTTGGAACTTGTCAGCTTGACATTTTGGTAGAAGTACAGAGCTAGTCCCAAATCCCTCCCTTTGGTGACCCATCATCAATCTTCACAGGAATCGGACACTGCTCTCTCTTCACACAGGGGCCACATGCCCTAGGAAAGGCAGCACCTGCCAGCCTCTGGCACAGGCAGGGATGTCAAGGCCCAGAGTGGGAGAAAGGGAGTGGCTGCAGACTTGCCTGGGGGGGGGGCGGGGGGAGGGTACAGTCTGCAGGTGGACAGACCAAGACTCGAGTCCTGGCTCTGCTAATGACTCTGTGTAACTAAGGTCAAGCTGCCTTATCTCGGCTTCAGGTTCCTCATCTGTGAAAACCACCACAAGCCTTTTAAGGGCTGATGTTATGAGGATCACATGATATAAAACATTTGAAGAGCTCACCGAGTGCCCCGCAGAGTGAGGTCTTTCACTTGGTGGTAGCTACTACTTTTACTAATAGAATCAGAAGCAGAACTATCCTCTGCACATGTGCTCCAGAGAATGAGCCATTTAAACAAAGCCCATTTCACAAAAAAGAGCAGGAAATGGGCTGCTGACAGGAAAGAGGAGCGAAT